ATTATTATTATTATTATTATTATTATTATTATTATTATTATCCCTTATTCTTGGCTATGGGGATTTGCTGATGGGAATTGTTATCCACCATCAAGTGGAGGGCCAAAGGTTTTCGGCCCCCTCCTAGAGGAAGATGATGCTCTAGCTTATAACTGTTTAGGGAAAGGGGAGCCCAAATCCCTTCTCTTAAGACCAGCCAATCTTGCAACTAAACTAGTAAGAGGGAGCAATTTGCACAAGGCAAAGCCCGTCTCACACCACCCTCGGCTGACAGCAGCAGCTGCCTGATTAAGCCGGGCTAATTATCGATCAATATCAGACTACCAATGGCTCCCTGGTTGCTATGCCAATTAAGCTTGTATCTCCACAAGGTGCTGGTCTGTCAGGAAGGACTAGCAAAAGCAGTCTTCCCTCCCCTGCCCAGTATGGAGGCATTTCCAACAGAGCTTGATTTCTTTTATCTAACAGGACAGCGTCAAGTGAAAATACCACGCATTCCCCATCTTCCATCTCTCCTTAAGGCCATTTTGTCACACAATGCTGATCTCCTATAAAGAAAGCAATTGGCAGTGTGGCTTTGAACAGTGAGTGTTCCCTCGCCTCCCCAATCTCTTCTGGCCTCCAGAAGAGATCTCTCTCCTCCCCCTTTTAACCTTTGCATACAGGTGAGTGAATTTTTAAACTACAAAATCACGTGAAGAATGGTTTAAACCAGAATTGGAACCATCTGGCCTTCCAGATGTTTTTGGCTTGAAAACCCTGTAGGCCTTGTGGTTGGCTGTTGTGGGTAATAATAATAATAATAATAATAATAATAATAATAATAATAATAATAATAATAATAAATTTATTTGTACCCCGCCCCTCTGAGTACAATCAAGGTGGCTAAGGTTTCTGGAAGTTGTAATCTAGCAATATCAGTAGCACCACATGAATCCCACTCCTGGTTTAAACTGCTCCCCACCGCTGTAAGTGGTCCTGAACCAGAACCAGAACTATGCACACTTAGGGCCTTTGCAGACTGCCAGAAATAGTGCTAATTGAGTCCACTTTAACTGCCCTGACTCAGTTCTAGGGAATCATGGGAACTGTAGTTTATTGTGGCACCAGAGCTCTCTGACAGAGAAGGTTCAATGTCTCAGGAAAAAAATACAGTTCCCATGATTCCCTAGCACTGAGCCAGGGCAGTTAAAGTGGACTCAATTTGCACTATTTCTAGCAGTCTGCAAAGGCCCTTACTCAAGAAAAAAAAGGATCATTTGATACACTCCTGCCCTATTACCTTTGCCACTGCCTTTTCTTATTTCATGTTGCTGTTTCTACTGCCACATTTGCAACTATAAACACTCAGAGTCAGGAACTGGTACCCCAAGATCCAGCCTCTTTTTACGACCCACTTTTCTGATATTCAGTTGATATTAATAAGGATGTTTGAGGCATGTACCCACAAGGGCACCCAAGTGTAGGGAAATCAGCCATGCCATATAAGGAGATCTAGGACCATATTTGGGGATTCGGGAGGCTCAGCATGGGGCAGCACTAGAGCTGACTGCAGAGAAATCGATCA